ATAAAGCAACTGCGAGGAACGCGCTGATCGAGTTGCTTGAAATCGTTCGTAGAGGTAAGAAGGATCCTGGTTTACCAATATTTTATGTAATTGTGTTAGAGTCTTGAGTTTCAAATAGTTATTAAAGGAGATTGAATATATTTTTATAGCATGTTCGGAGATGTGATCTCTGCGCTTAATACCAAAAATATATCGGGCAATATTATTAAATAAGACATTGAGCTTTCTGTTGCACGTGGTATCGCAATTAGCATACAGTTCGCAACCATAGAGCATGGTTGGAAGCAAATATGTCTTGGCTAAAAGCAGTCTAATTTTAATTGGTGTAAAGTACTGGGTAGTCCATAAGGAGCGCAACATTCCATACACTTTGCCTATAACTGTAAAAATGTGGTTCTTCCATGTCAATGTTCTGTTGAAAGTCACGCCCAGGTTTTTGGCTGCATCAACGAAATTTATTACCGAATTGCCTAATATTACTTTTGAATAATTGTCTAGCTTAAAGTGTTTTTTGTAAATTGTAATGCACTGGGACTTGCTCGGATTCAATAGCAGGCCATTATCAGTAGCCCAGCCATTTACTCGACACAGATCTGCATTAAGATTACGTATGCAGGCATTAATTGACTTTAGTGGGCAATCAAGATATAATTGCACGTCATCTGCGTAAACATGCACTTTACAATGTTGTAGAATTTTCGGTAGATCGTTAACATATAAGACACAACAGCGGTCCAAGTATTGGGCATTGCGGCACACCTTCAATAACAGACAAGAAGCTAGACACAGAGCTACCAACGCATACCGCTTGTGACCTCCCTAGGAGATAAGATCTGACCATGCTTACAGCTTGGGAAGAGAAATTAAAAAGGTTGGCGAGTTTTAAGCAAAGTAATGTGTGGTCAACGGAGTCAAAAGCCTTTGAGTGATCAAGTAAAGTTAAAAAAGTGACATGGTCTTTGTCCATATTCTGCCTTATATCGTCAGAGACTTTCAAAAGAGCAGTAATACAGCTTCTGTTGCTCGGAAGCCAGATTGATGACTACTAATAAGTGAATTTTTACTCACAAAGGTGTTTATTTGGCGCTGCATTATTCGCTCCAGAACCTTCGAAAGGAATGGCAAAATGGCAATTGGTCTGAAGTCACCATTTGGTTTCAATAGAGGGATAATTTTAGCCTTCTTCCAACAGCTCGGAAAGACGGACGTTGTCAATATAGTGTTGAAAGCGTAGGTGAGGCACGGGAGAATGAATGGCAATATACACTTAATGAATTTAGGATGGATTCCGTCAAGACCAACGGCGTTGGATTTCACAGAAAGTATGGACTCCACAACATCACATTCATCTATACATTGAAAAGAAAACGCACTCAAGAAGTTATTAAGACAAACATTATAACCATCATAAAATATATTACTGCGAGGACGAGACGAATTAACAAACTTTGCATTTACTTCATCAACATTTACAGATTCAGGAGAGACAGAGATTTTACTGTCGATGCCAATTTCACGAATACGTTTCGATGTCTGCTTTGAGCTTACTGCAGTTCTGAATTGCTGCTCATAATATTTCATCTTTTGGGTTTTTATGGCCTTCGTAACTCTTCTTCTTATAGACTTGTACTCATTATAGGCTACGTCGGACTTCAATTTCTTCCAGGTATGATACGCACTATTCCTATCATCAATTAAGTTTCTTATATAGCTGTTAAACCATGGACGACTACCATGCCTGCTTGGTTTTGTAATTAGAGGCACAAATGTCTCAAATAGTGTGTTAATATTTGTCTGTATAAAATTAATTTGATCGTTAGCAGATGGCATGTAGCGAACAAATCCCAAGTTGATTGAATTAACACTTTCATTAAGTCTTTCGTAGTTAATATTGTTAAAGTTACGGTAGGAGTAGGAAGACTGGTTGCTAACAAAACGAAAGTCGAAGGTGAGAAAAATAAGGTCATGTTTCGAGAAATTTGGAGCTATAAGTTGATCATACAAAAGTACACTAGACAACTCGCTAACGACAAACATGTCCAGTAAGGTGCTGCAGGTACGTGTAAAGTGCGTAGGTGTTGTTTGATTTACAAAACAGAGTCCCAAATTTTTTATGTGAAGTGAAAATTTTGTAACTTTAAGTATATCACTATTAAAGTCACCAGTTATAATAATTTTGTTGTGGCCTATGGTAAGATTCTCGAGAAAATCGATGAACCCATTATAACAGATCTGCCTGTTGGGTCTGTAGACACAGCCAATAAGTACCTTGTCAAATTTAGTAAAAATTTCTAAAAATAGGTACTCAGTGGTGCTGGAAGGTGGCGATGCACAGTTGAATTTGCACGAGAGACCGTTTCTTACATAAATAGCCACACCTCCTCCATGACCAACTCTATCCAAGCGAAAGAGCCTATACCCATTAACATGAAATAAGTGATCATTATGACACGGGGAAAACCAGGTCTCTGATACACACACCACGTCCACATTCGAATTTTCAAAAAGATACCTAAATTCATCAACTTTCCTTGTTAAGCTTTGGGCATTGATGTGGCATACTCTAAGGCTAAGAAGGTCCTCAATACGCGAATCATGTTGAAAGTACCGTCTCTGGAACAGATACCACCATTAGGAGTCATGAGCACAAACAAAAAATATAAAACAAACAAAACATAACACATTGCATCTCAGAAGGGCATATCGGTATGAAAAGTAGATATGTGCTAATAGAGTATGTACGATATCTCTCAAGTGAGAATGAGGTAGAAGGAAATGGGAGGAAGGAGATGAGTACAAGTACAGGAAGAAGGAAAAAATTGCAAAAATAACAAATAAAATTATAAACTAAAGTCATACATTTTAAAATCGCTCTTAATTTAAAAAATTTATCTATATTCATTCAAAAGTTTGATTACGACGTGCTGGATGCTGTTAACACACGGACATCTTCAATGTTGGACACCTTCACTGCGTTGCATTTAGGTTTAACTCGAACATACACACATCCACGCATAGAAAAAACAGATGCCAATTGTTGTTTTCTTTTGAGTTGCATTGCGAACAGCAGACCTTCACGGCTNTTNTTGGAGGGCTCTCGTGGACGTCTATTCTCCCGTCTTTTTTTTTTTTTTTTTTTTTAGGGGGAAGCATCGAAAGCCTATACCCGTCAGTGTGGGACTTTAACCCGAACTAAACTCCTACTGTCCGAGCACCGAACCCCCCGGTACCACCGTCAAGTATTTCGTCGGGACGCGGTTGAGCACTAGGCTCGCACGTTCGTTCCAGTCGGTTGTACTCAGTCCTGGGCTACGCCTAGTATGCTTTGCCACGTCTTGTTTAAGGATAATTACCCTTTTTTAACTATTTATTCATTTTCTCTTAGATACAACTTATTATTTTCGCCTTTATAGACAGTAAGAGCAAAAACCTTAAAATGCCTTATGCGACGAGTTTCAAGCCCGCATACGTATGTATATTGCCTTTGCGGTTTGAACGGTCTCGGTTCCAATCCGCACCAACGCCCCGTGTGGACGAAATTCGAAACTGCACTTTATTTGCGGCTGGAACGCCCTAGGTTTCAGTCCGCGCCTATTTTCGATTGCAAAAATTTTTTCGAGGTTGCCACTTGGGCGGCTGGAACGCCCTAGGTTCCAGTCCGCGAGTATTTATCGATTTCAAAAATTTTCGAGATTGCCACCTGAGCGGCTGGAACGCTCTAGGTTCCAGTCCGCGCCTATTTTCGATTGCAAAAGTTTTCAATATTGCCATTTGGGCGGCTGGAACGCCATAGGTTCCAGTCCGCGCGTATTTATCGATTTCACAAATTTTCGAGATTTCCACCTGAGCGGCTGGAAAGCCCTAGGTTCCAGTCCGCGCATGCGCTTTAATTGTTAGATTTCATGTTCAAGGTGCGGTCTGAAAGCACAACTTTCTAAGCCGCACTGCTCGAGCGGCTGGAACGGCCTAGGTTCCAGTCCGCGCCTACGCTTTGGTTGGTGAACATCATAGTTTAGTTCCAGTCCGCGGCTATGCTAAGAGTTGGCTTAAGCACGGCTGATACGCCGCTGTCTCTCTAGGTCCCTCAGTTCCTTCAAAATCGAAGTTAGTGTATCGCTGGTTGATGCCCATTCGCTATTCTCCCGTCTGCTTTGTGCCCAATGTCTCGCAGCGCAATAGGTCTCTTACTCTGCTTGCAGAAACGTGTTACGGCGCTAAGAAGTCGACATCGATCGCTGGCAGAACCTAGCTTAACTATAACTGCCGTAGCTTTGCTGTTGTTGTTGTCATTATTGGGAACGTGGAAAATATCACGTACCGGTGGAGCAATCATGTTGACAGCGCTACACAGCTTGGAGAAGGTATCTCTTAGATTCTCTTCACTCGCCTGCGGGATACCTCTTATGATAGCATCAGACGAGACAAGAGAATTTTGACACTCGTCAAGTTGTGCTTTGAGTGTATGCACTTCAGAGTTTAGCCGCATAATACGAGAACTCTCATTCCCGTCATTAGGTTTAGACTTTAACGTTTGCACATCAACACGCAGCTGCTCAACGTAAGCGCACACAGCTTCAGCTTTGGCTACGCGGTCTTCGATCTCTTTTATGGCAAATTTTAAGTTTTTAACTTCAGCCGTCAACTAACCAAAACGCTGCATCACTCGCTCTTCGGATCTCTTCATGCACTCGGAAAGTTGTTCGATGATGCTCTCTTTCTGCTGGTCCATCTTTACTTGCATTTGTGAAAACCAGTTATTAAACTGCGGGCTCTCGCTTCTTGTACTCTGAGTTTTTGGAGAGGCAGCAGCTTGGCGGGCTGTTTTTGTTCTTGTTAAATTCATCTCGCGAAAACAATATAAAAATTTATTTGTTTATTTTTATCTTTTCTTCGCTCTTTTCACAACGAAATTTTCACAATTGTGCGATAAATAAAGGGCTGACCTGGACGGGACTTTGTTTGAGTTATTTAAATTAGTTTACTGTGGAAAACGCGAATATATGCACAAGGTATTGCCGCACTGTCCAAAACACGTCTACTCAGCACGCTTGCACATTGTACATGTCTGCTACTTTAACCACGCAATTGTAACTGTATATAAATATCCAATATTAACATCAAAATGTAAATTGTTCATTATATACCCACTTGCATACAAACACGGAAAGATATTATTAGATTCTAAGATAGCAAAATGTAACAATGTCTTTGCACCTATTGAAAAATGTAAAAACTATTTTGGGAACTATATATGTAAAATTAAGACCTCAGACAATTGCACTATTAACATATTGGAGAATAAGCCTGTCAAATGTGAAGTGATACACGAAAACAACGCACCACTCCAAATACTTGAAAACGGAAATATCATAACAGATTACAACCACACCTGGAACAACATAAAAATAGATGGGCCGAAATTAATACAATTCAACTACTCTGCAACAATCGATGGAAAACAATATTCCTACCTGCAACAGGAATACAAAGATGCCATATACAAACAACATGACGAACAACTAGAAGTCCTACGCATCATCGAATCCAATGCCGATTATAAATTTAGCAATATTCAAGAAATGTCAACTTTCCTGATACCAACCGAGGAACATCCCGTCCAATACACCTTCTACTGCATCCTGGGGTTATGCACACTAGCATTACTTATCTATGGTATAGACAAACTCTGCAAATGTTACATAGCAAAGAAAGCGGAAGCAAGAAGAAAAAGAATAGACGAAATGTATCAAATAGAACTATTCAGACTCCAACAAGAACAACATACACGTTAAAGCCAGGAAGCTTCATTTTAAGAAGGAGGGGAGTTAATGACTTCGTCACAAGGCACGTAAACAAAGTTTCCACTAAGCATCATCAATAACAACCAAACATGCATTATCAAGAAATTCATTCTCAAGATGNACCAAAACGCTGCATCACTCGCTCTTCGGATCTCTTCATGCACTCGGAAAGTTGTTCGATGATGCTCTCTTTCTGCTGGTCCATCTTTACTTGCATTTGTGAAAACCAGTTATTAAACTGCGGGCTCTCGCTTCTTGTACTCTGAGTTTTTGGAGAGGCAGCAGCTTGGCGGGCTGTTTTTGTTCTTGTTAAATTCATCTCGCGAAAACAATATAAAAATTTATTTGTTTATTTTTATCTTTTCTTCGCTCTTTTCACAACGAAATTTTCACAATTGTGCGATAAATAAAGGGCTGACCTGGACGGGACTTTGTTTGAGTTATTTAAATTAGTTTACTGTGGAAAACGCGAATATATGCACAAGATATTGCCGCACTGTCCAAAACACGTCTACTCAGCACGCTTGCACATTGTACATGTCTGCTACTTTAACCACGCAATTGTAACTGTATATAAATATCCAATATTAACATCAAAATGTAAATTGTTCATTATATACCCACTTGCATACAAACACGGAAAGATATTATTAGATTCTAAGATAGCAAAATGTAACAATGTCTTTGCACCTATTGAAAAATGTAAAAACTATTTTGGGAACTATATATGTAAAATTAAGACCTCAGACAATTGCACTATTAACATATTGGAGAATAAGCCTGTCAAATGTGAAGTGATACACGAAAACAACGCACCACTCCAAATACTTGAAAACGGAAATATCATAACAGATTACAACCACACCTGGAACAACATAAAAATAGATGGGCCGAAATTAATACAATTCAACTACTCTGCAACAATCGACGGAAAACAATATTCCTACCTGCAACAGGAATACAAAGATGCCATATACAAACAACATGACGAACAACTAGAAGTCCTACGCATCATCGAATCCAATGCCGATTATAAATTTAGCAATATTCAAGAAATGTCAACTTTCCTGATACCAACCGAGGAACATCCCGTCCAATACACCTTCTACTGCATCCTGGGGTTATGCACACTAGCATTACTTATCTATGGTATAGACAAACTCTGCAAATGTTACATAGCAAAGAAAGCGGAAGCAAGAAGAAAAAGAATAGACGAAATGTATCAAATAGAACTATTCAGACTCCAACAAGAACAACATACACGTTAAAGCCAGGAAGCTTCATTTTAAGAAGGAGGGGAGTTAATGACTTCGTCACAAGGCACGTAAACAAAGTTTCCACTAAGCATCATCAATAACAACCAAACATGCATTATCAAGAAATTCATTCTCAAGATGTAAACAACAAACATCTGGCAATGGAATAATCCACTGCGATAACCACCGCCGCATCTCATCAATAACAAACAAGTGATAACTAGATAACAGATACCGCATTTCAACAAAGAAATGGCAAGCAGGTAATAACAACCGCATCTCAATAACAACAAACAACTTGCAACCAGATAACAGCAGCCGCATCTCACTAGTATAAATAGCTCTAAGATCTTATATTATAAACAGTTTTAAAAATATCAATAAAGTGTACGCTTTTCGGCGTAGTAATAAAAATATATTTTTTTAACTCATATCGTGAAAGCGATATTAAGTCGCGGCAGGCACAAGCCGCAAAGGCATATACAGCAGAACAGGGGTGTCGGAAAGTATGGCAGTACAAGCCAAAGTATGTACTGGTGGTACATGTTAAAATAATTCTCGTTTCCTTCTACATAGTAATAGGCCATTTTAGAGCATTTGAAGTGCACTTTCGTTTCATATCCCTCACTTCCGGTCTCCGATTTTTTTCCTTGTGTTGAACATTAAACACACCTACCAAAGTTCCCTTCAAGCAATTCACTGAACATACGATTTTGTTATTGAATTATCAATAAAACGATGAAACTCATTTTTGGCTTTGAAGCAACTTCCGCAAAACCTTTTCGTTCTTTTCCTTCGTAACCTTGGAGCGAAGAACACCCAGAAAACGTGCCGGCGTATACCCCCAACAAGAGGGAAGAAACCCCTTTAACAAACACCATAACTGGTAAAAAATAATCAAATAATAAGAACTATTTTGTGTCAGCGAAAAGTCTTGAAATTTGGCCAAAGAGTGATAGCCCCTAATTTCCTTTGGGCGTTGCGATTGTAGCACGAAGGAAGTTGTGATATCCTGAACCTATCACTACTCGGATCCCTTTTCGAACAACAATCAACCTACATCAGCCGATCCGTGGGAAAATAGTGTGGTCATAATAGGAGCAGTTTTTAGCAATCGGAAATTTTGTACATACATACATACATAAGCCGGTACCCAACTTTTCTATACTTATAGCCAGGCATACGTTTTCCTAGGTCGCTATGTGATAAATTGCAATAAGTCAGGTTTAAATCATGTATAAAAAGGGGACAAATCTGCCCAACATTAAAATTTTTAAAGCTTCCGTTTCGGTCTCTCGTGACAGCGATTTTCTAGCCACCCCGGCTTAACCTAATAAAACGAAATCCAAGAAGTTTATGCAATGCATCTATAATGGAAAAAGGAATGAATTAAATGAATTAGGACATTAATAGTTATGTACTTACCTTTTAAATACTTACCTTAAATCCTTATGTTATAAAGTTAAGCTTTTTAAATAGTGAAATAACTACATAGATTTCAACCACATGCTTTTAGTTCCAACTTAGATTCTTTCTACTTACCTCTTATTTTTCGTTCGTTTTGCATACTTTAGAAAGCTGTAAATACTTATGTACATACGTATGTACATAGTCGTGTTAGCTATTAAATAAAATTGTATTCATAGGTACCATGTGGTGGGTCCACATGGTCACCTAACCTAACTCAATCTTAATGACGTTTAAGAGAATGTAACATATGTATGTATTGTGAGGACTAAAGATCCGCGGAATTTAGCCCACACGAACGCATACCCCTACACCAGCAGCAACATCACCAAGAACAACGACTATACCTGCAACAATAACGACTACAGCAACACCATCGACACGGCCAGCCAACACGAGAGACCGTCAACACTCCTTTGAACTCAGCAACACGAAGAGCACTGTCTATAAAGAACTGACTCAGCAACATACGAGTTAAGCTCGGAACACTTTGACGACAGCAAGCGACAAGCAGCATCTGTCAAATTTTAAATACACACGTTCTTACGGACACAATTATTTTGACGACAGCACGAGATCTTGGCTGCAGGACTGCAATTGTCGACGTCGCCAAATTAAATCTATTTCTAATTTTGCCGGCGACAATGAGTAGATGTAGTGCTGCAACATTAAATTGTCGCAAAATTAATCACATATTCTTGATTGTTCATGTTTTTCTTATTTACTTAAATAAAAATACACAATTTGTGAAATAAATATACCAAAATGTTAAACTTTAAAATCAGCTGTTTGCTATGTCGCTGAGGTCTTCAAAACGTTTAAGAAGCTGGCTTCAAGGCGACATTTGTCGACAAAATGATGTCGCTGTCGTTATGTCGTGAAGTTGCAGTCGTCAAAGTGTTCCGAGCTTTAGTCAGCACGGAGCAGTGGTCGTGAACGCACAGCTACTAGAGAATAGCTCTCGGTAGAGCGCCGCCACCGCACAGTCAACCGTGAAGCCGCGCAACGGCTTAACGACGACGACGCCCAGAGTAGCGCCGACGTCGCCGAAAATCTAAGTGTCAGTAGCGGAGCCGTGGTCGTGAACGCACAGCTACTAATGAATAGCGCATGACTTGTAAATAGGTGACTATACAGGGCTTGGCAGTTCAAAGGTAAAGCGCCGCCACGCCACCGCGAACAGCAGCATAGCGCCGACGTCGTACAGCAACAGCGCGCCGCCATCGTAGCGCGGACGCCACACAGCAGCAGAGCGCCGCCATAGTGGCACCGACGCCGTCCATCATCAGAACGCCGACGTCACCCAGCAGCAACGCGTCGACAGAATAGCACCGTTAGGAATTCATACACTGCTAATCGTATTATGTTCATATAAATTCAGAATTAAAACGTTTTAGAGGATAAGAATCATTAAGTAAAGTACTATTTGCACAATATAAATTTNGACGACGCCCAGAGTAGCGCCGACGTCGCCGAAAATCTAAGCGTCAGTAGCGGAGCCGTGGTCGTGAACGCACAGCTACTAATGAATAGCGCATGACTTGTAAATAGGTGACTATACAGGGCTTGGCAGTTCAAAGGTAAAGCGCCGCCACGCCACCGGGAACAGCAGCATAGCGCCGACGTCGTACAGCAACAGCGCGCCGCCATCGTAGCGCGGACGCCACACAGCAGCAGAGCGCCGCCATAGTGGCACCGACGCCGTCCATCATCAGAACGCCGACGTCACCCAGCAGCAACGCGTCGACAGAATAGCACCGTTAGGAATTCATACACTGCTAATCGTATTATGTTCATATAAATTCAGAATTAAAACGTTTTAGAGGATAAGAATCATTAAGTAAAGTACTATTTGCACAATATAAATTTTTGTAATGGACCCTGGGCACGGCGAGTATACCTCAGCATAGAAAACAGAAGCGTCGGGGCCTTCCGAGAAAAGCGCTTCGTTACAATTGGCGCCCGAGCAGGGACCCTGCCAATAGTACAATACAAAGAGAACATTTCGAAGCTGATAATTAAACCAGTGATGACAGAACCAGTGAGCATAGCGTGGCTGGACAGCGTATCCAAGGAACAGTTGGTGTCCATCACACAGGAACTGGGCATCGAATACACAGGCACCACTCGAGAGATAAGGAAACGCATAGCGGCATGGGCCGCCAAAGCACTCGTCGACCCGGAGCTTCACGCAAAATTTTTCGCGATCGAAGCAGTATACAACGGACATGAGGCCCACTGGGAAGATGAAAGTGAACCAAAGGCACC